AATTTCCCATCATCATTCAATTACCCATACGAAACTTGGTTTCAATCCTTGTTGCTTGTAAAATGCGTCTATCAACTTATATAGCTTTGTTTTATTTAATTTGACTTTCATTTAAGTAACTAAGTAAATATGTTTCTCACAACTCAATTTGTTAGCGCGCAGATTGCACTATATTTTATACAAAATTTAGAAATATGAGCCTTCGTGGAAAGTGTTTAACTATTAAAATTATCCAAGATGAAAATGATACAAAGTTTTTTAAATATACATCATTTTTATGTGCTATTTGTAATTATATATTTTGATTTGATAACTAATTTTAGTCCAAAAACACTCATTAAATACGTTAATATTAAAAGTTTTTGCAATTTATATTTCAATTTTTTTTTGTTGAGATTTTCTTGATTATTTATTGTTCTTTGCATAACTGAGGTTCATTTTAAATTACCATACTCGAATATTAACAGAAAATTACTTTCAAATAAGGTTTTCACTTAAAAGATTTCTTTATTGCTCTATATTATTTTTCGAAACAAATATAAGTATGTAATTGAAAGCGACTACTTATATCTTTTAATGAAAATATGGTTTTAAATAATAATAGAGGATGTATCCATTTTCAGTACAAAACCGGGTCAAGTATTGAACGAAAACGTGTTACCAAAATACTTATATTGAATGTTTAAGTAGTGTTGCTACTATTTTTAGATTCGATCCAATAGTTCAGTACCCGGCTGCTTTGATATACCAATTTTATTTATAGAAATCTACTTACTGTAATAATTTCCAATATCATTTACAAAGCGTTAGCTATTCCTTACTTAATTTCGTGTAGTAAACTTATACACTTTATACAAAAAATTTCGATACGAAAAATTTAACTAAACTGAAAAAGAAAGAATGTCAAACTTTACAAAAGGCTACCAATTAAGTTGCAAATACTTTTCGTGAAAGCGTTGGAGTAATTAAATTAATTGTGTGTAAAATACTATACATAGGTTGGCAACACGAAAGCCGGTGGCGATGGCGGGTGTCTCGAGGGCGACGCGGCGCGACGGTCGCTGCCCCGACCGACCGTTAACCCCTCAAATGCAGTTCTACCTGCAATATGTAACCCTATTAGCTATTTTCCGGGAACGGTTGCCAAGCTATTTTCGTCTATATGCCCGAAGACAAGTCTCTCAAAATATGGGTCGCGGAATAATGAAATACGACTGAACTGAGATCTTTCTGCTCTCTGAGATTTGATGAAATAACTCGGAAGTGTCTGTACTAAAGTATAATATTTTTTATAGCTTTTCATACGACGAGAAGACGTACTTCTAGAATAAAGAGCACGATAATAAGGAAAATAAGATGATTGGGAATGGAGAACAAAAATTTGTCAATATCGCTTTGTCGTTTTAGTTGTGAATATGTAGTGAAAGAAATACTTTTAATTTTATCTCTGTTCTTGGAGGTTTTTGGTAGTAGGCGGAAGTTCTCTACTAGAATGTACTTAATTTTTATCTCATATATTTTTTAATGGCTAACCTATTTGGTATAGATCTTTAACCTTTCGTACTACAGTTCCATTACTGAAACTTTTGTTGTCAAGGATTCATATTATTATGTTTTTATAAACAATAGTAATATTGAAAGCTTTTATTTTATTTTCTTTTCAAAGCAAGTTCTACTTCAGGCAATTATAGTAAAGCATACCGTTCAAAAGTCAAAGTTGAATTGGACTTGTCCGACTGAACAACTCTAAGTAGTTCAGAAGTTCATCAAAATACCTGGACTCACTTATATTCAAGTTGAAATCTTGGGTAGAGGTATTTTATAGGACACAAAAGTGACATTTAAGCATAGGCACGAATGAATCGGCTGAAGGGGAGAGACACCACAGAAAACCGGCGTGGAAAACCACAGCGTTATGGTTCGCCGTGTGAATGAGGTTACCAGAGACCAAATCCAAAGAAACCATAATCTTCAAAAGACCGCCAATGCACCAGCAACTCAAACACTGGTGTTGTGTGTGTCCATGGGGCGCTTGTTTCATCATCATCATCAGCCTATAAGTGCCCACTGCTGAGCAAAGGCCTCTCCTCATTTGGAGAAGGTTAGAGCATTAACCACCACGCTTGCTCAATGCGGGTTGGCGATATCAAACTTATAATCAGGAATTCTAAGTCCAGGTTTCCTCACGACGTTTACCTTCACCGTATGTCAATGGTGTCTAAATAATCATAGAAGCGCTTGTTTACCATCAGGTAATCCGTGACTTCATTTGGTGACCTATAACATTAAAAAATACAAGGTTATTTTTAAAACAATTACGTTTTTTTTATTTTAAAAGTGATATGCAATTTCGAATGATATGAGGAGCGTTTGTAATACCGCTAAAGCTTTTCTTCTCAGTAAATGTATCATGTAATATGTCTTATGTATGGAGTCTGGAATTTTGCCAGGCATTCGGCAATATGCTCGCCCCATATGTCATGGGACTGGCAAAATTGGATGTTAACACCTTAACCTACCACTTTGATAAATAAATATGATATATGTTTAAAAGATTTTGATTTATTGAATGTACCTTGATAATATTCTCTATTCCATTGCAGAGTCTGCACTGTTATTTAATTTGCAAAGGTTCGATATGGAGACTAGACTAAAGTATACCTATATATGTGTTTTTATTAAAATCATTTGGAATTATTAGTTGGCCCATTGTTTTCTTTCAACGGTTGTCGGTGGTGACCAAAAAATTTTAGAAAGTACCTAATACTCGTAAAAAATCTCAATGGTTCTCATCCGGGCTGGTGAACATAATATGTGATTCCGTTCTATTACCGAAAAATTTGTCCTCATCATCACCTTCCCGTTTCTACTGGACATAGTCCTCTACATACCACTTTGTCCTCATCATCACCTGCCCGTTTCTGTCCACTGCTGGACATAGTCCTCTACAGTAAAACACCACTTTTCTTTGCGAGGGGAAAATCAAAAGATCAAACGACTTCTCTCGCCCAGGGTAAGTTGAGAGCGCGTGTAAGAGAGACTCTTACTATTTAAAAACTTTTCTTTTATACAATTTTTGATTTACAATTCCGTCTAGGTTTGTTTTATATTTGATAAGACCAGAAGTGCTTTCGTCAAAATCAATTAGTGAGTGATATAAGGTTGAATTAATAGTCTGAGAGCTGACTTAATAGTCAGCTTATTAATTCATTCATACATGTAGATGAATTCATGGACGTCTCTGTACATAGAATTATATGCTGAATGAAGTATTTATGTAGAGTAATAAGGTTTGAAATCGAGAATACCTTTCTTTTCAATAACTCAAGACCTTTTTCAGACGCTAGCACAAAAACACATAGTCCTATATATTGATATGATGTATTCCTGTATCATAGATTTACATGAAAAGACATGACTACTAGACATTAACATCTTTAATATTAGACATTAAATTATAGTCAGATATACAAAAAATTGGGATATGTTTTTTAAGTGCGGCAAATAAACTCTGCGGATTTCTGTCCAAAATTAAATAATAATAAAAGAATTATGCATGTCATTTAGCAAGAGGTTCCCCTTTATGTTGTAGATTAAAAAAGTATATTACATGTTACTAAAAACAAAAAAAACTTAAGTTTTTATTGTTCGTACAGCAATAGTTCTTGTGACTTATACTAAGACCGAGCAGTTCTGAATATTCCGAGAAAACAGTGTTAATATCTTTAGGCCTTTATTTCATAAATTGATGATGCCTCAGTGCCTCAGGTGGAAATTCTATTAAAGTAATGAAGTTTATGTCAGGTTAAAACGATCGATGATGAGACATGGTGCGAAAATATGAAGCTATTATTATTGGCTGGCAAGTTGGTTGTCTGAAATTTATAATGAAATACTTGATATACCTTTGAATATATACCGATATACCTTGTTTGACCGCAGGCGTCACAACTTTTCTATTAATTTTGTCAGAGAATTGCCAGTTGTTTTGGGCACAAAAATGAAGTTAACGACAGCGAGAAATATTCGCAGAAGGGTTGAGTTAAAAAGTTAGCGAGAACTGATGTTTCTAACTCACTTGGTGTTTCAAACGATAAACAATTAGAAGACAAATCATATCATTAACAAAATATTGAATTTATTTATGTTAATGAATTAAAGGTTCAAATGTTTTACGATTATTAATCTAAATAGGTAATTTTTGATAAAGGTTCGAATTAAAAGCATCCTCTATCGACGAGCATGTATGACGAGATCAATGAACGTAGAAGGAGTGAAAGAAGCATGACAGAAACATGTCATTTGTGTTCAATTGTTTTGCATTGCCTAATCCCAATGTGAGACGACAGACAAGCGTGTGGATATGTATTTTTATTATTTGTGTTTTTCTCTTAAAAAGTATTTCCGTAACAACATGTAATTAATTGTCACTGTACTAAACACTTTCTATAGTAATAGAAGATGGATCTATTGATTAAGAATTTGGAAATTAAATATGTATTCAATTATCGTCATATTTTTTGGCCATTCTCTCTGTCTCGTTAGTTTGGTGGTTTCAAGTGCGACTACCGAACACGGGGGCATGGAGTCATAAGTCATTAAAGACAACTTCAAGAATATGGTCCTCCTCCACACAAGAAGTCTCTCTATCTCTGTCTGAAAAGGATAATTTATTCTAATTTCGATTAACTTAATTATCAAATAATTCCTCCTTAACGAAGATATGACAATTCTATAATGATGGTCTCATAATTTTTTGCCTTAATTATTTTACCATTTTTCTCTAATCTACGTTATCTACATAATGAATGTTTTGTTTCAGATTCCTACTCGCTGGTGCCGTTAAAAAAACAAAAGCCGGCCGTGATTTTGAATCGTGCTAGTGAAGTGAAGTACATATACTGAGAAAATTGTTTTAGTGGTGCACAGTAAAAAAGGAGTGCAGTTTAGTGATTATTGAAAAAAAAAGTGTTTTTGGAGTGCAAGTGGTGAGAATATAACTTCGTTTAGATTTTGAAAACAGTGAGGTTTTGTGAACGTAGATAGTGAACGAAAATAGTGATGTCTGCGTGTGTCGTTGAAGAAGGTAGGGAGGAGGGCGGTGGCGCATGCGCGCTGGAGGCCGGGCCTAGCGTGGATCGCGACGAGTTACCGGAGCGCCCGCGCAGGGAAGTCTTACTAAGTGCGCGGGGCCGACGCGCATGCTCTGAGCAGGGACCTCATCCTAGCCTTAATTTTCGTAAGTATTCTCCATTTTGTACCTCTCTATCAATTACTGAAAGAAAACCTACATTAATATATTTTCAACTTAATCCTTTTTATTACGATACTCGCGATATTTTTTTTTTTGTAATATTTTGATGGTATAATTTTAGCCAGTTAGAGTGTAAAAAACATAAATGTAGGTAGGTACCGTATTTACATTAATGGCAGCATTAAAATAGTGCACAAACATTCGTTACTGCAAATAAAACGGCGCGGTGTTCTGTTTTCAAATATGTGATATGTTTGTTTGCTTATCCCAAAGTATGTTCCTGAAATATTTTTCATATTCTACAATAAAAGCAATTCTCTTTACGAATAAGGTCTAAGCACTTAATAGGATTTCGTAATTGTTCAAACGTTGTTGTGAGTTAATACTTGGGTAAACAAACAATACAGGTTCAAATAAAATGCCTTGTTTAAGGAAAACCACAAATGTTCCCATTGATATTACAAATATGCAGTTTAAATAGTAATAATAAACCTATTTCCTGTAATCCAAGACAATTTGCTTGATTACATCTACGCAATTTGGCCACGAGTCATTAATGGAATTAGCTAGTAATAAAGTACTATTGTTTTATGGTCTGTCTGTAAAACTTAATCATATTAGTGCAAGACCATTACAGTGACGTCATTAGGAATTCAGTGCCAAAGCAAAATTTACTATTTTGGGTTTAATTTTGACGTCTTTCTATTGGTAGGTGTATAACTGCGAACGAACCATAAACATTTTTCGTAGTAAGGTAAATTGGCGCCTGTTTCGAAAACGCCTGTGTGTTGTCATTGTGAAGACCACCCGTAGACTGCAGTGGAGCATGCGGTGGAGATGGGCTCTGCTTGAGCTGAACACAATCCCTCTCACCATACTCTGGGCGGTTTGATCATTGTCCATCATCAAAATAGAGGGTTAAATTGGCACATTTCCCTTTCATCATCATCATCATCTTTTCTTCCCTACAAATATGTATAAGTAAACAAAACACGAAACTATAGCAATAACCAAAAATAATGAGAAAACATTGAAAATATTGCGTGAATTTACTGACACCATAAAATGTCTGGCCATGCTTCGTTTAAGACGTATAAGTCGTATTTTAAACGTTCTCTCTCTCTCTCTCTCTCTCGGTCATCTAAATCAGCCTTTTCAGTTTAGCTGCAACTATAACAACCGTGACAGAATTCTGGATTCAATTTCCGCATCAGGCTTTCAATTTGAAACTCTTAGTACCTCAAGAGATTTGAATTTGTGCCCGATGTGGCACTTGACATGTAGCAGCTAGAGTATCTATGTCGGCTATGCATGGCTACAACAAAAAGTTTATTGAGATTTATATACAAAATTACACCGTGAGTGAGGATACCGGAGGCCTAATCCTTGCCCTCCTGGGGAGAGACCCCAAGCCTTAAATATCCTAAAGCCTAATTACCTAAAGCGGGTATCCATATGTCGATTGCTTACCATCAGGTAATCAGTTTGCAAGTTTGCCGATCATAAAAATATATTTTTTTACTATTATAAAAGCAAAAAATAAAAATAATGTTTATGTATTTTTTTACGTCAAGTAGTTCAAGTCACATCTTGTATTACTCGCAATTGTCTACGCAGCCAAGACTGACTGTTGCTTAAATGTCGTCACCGTGGCGCGAACACTGCGCATGATTAGGAGCCCCGTTGTGACTTGAAACTAGTAGAGCACTTGTTAGTAACTTTATTTGACCCAATTGTAATTTTTTGATAACTTTAATATTACACAAACAACATTTAAAAACACAGGTAGTCATGTACAATATAGGTAACATGTGGGAGAGCCAAGCTCCGGCACGAAATGGTCAGCTCGATCGACATGATACCACCGCCTTCAAGAAAATTGGCATCTAATAACTACAGCTTTGTGTGAGGTTACCAGAGGACAAATTCTTCGCCTGCCATATCCCTCCTCAATCCCTAAATCTCCGGGACCCCTCATCCCCAACAGCCGGCAAAGCACTCGTAATTCCTCGGGTGTTGCGGGGGTCCATGAGCGTCTGCCGCTCTACAATATTAAAAGTTGATGTTTCAAATTCTGATTTACTGAAACACAATTTATTTACACCTCGTTTATTTATGTCATTACCAACTGTCTCACACTTTACACATTCGGTTGTGTAAAATGACGTAACGAATCAAAAACAACTAGTTTATTATTTTACGCCTGAATCTTCTAACACGTGTATGCTAATACAGTTTTTTAGGTAACGTCATGTCATTCAGTGTTCGTCAGTGACATTTAGCTGTAGTATTTGCGGGAATTCTGTAAGTATATTTAATTATACATTTGTTTTGTAAAAACTTTTTAAGTGTGGGAGAGCCATGTTTCGGCACGAATGGGTCGGCTTGACCGGAGTGATACCACGGCCTCACAGAAAACCGACGTGATACACAGTGTAGTGTTTTACACTGTGATAGAGATTACCAGAGGCCCAATACATCCCCCCCAATCTCAAAATCTCCAGATCCATAATCCCCAAAAGGTCGGCAACTCAGTCGTAACTCCTCCGTTGTTGCGGGTGATGTCCATGCGCGGCGCTGATTACTTATCATTACGCAACCCGTTTGCTCGTTTGCCGAACTAAAACATAGAAGATTTTTCCTGAAGAGGCAAAGAAGAAGGATTGAGCTGAATCTTCGGTAATATAAGTCATTCGACGAAACACAACGTAATCGTTGTTTCACAGTTTTTGTGAGCCCTCAGTATGTGTCTGGCCGATCCAGTCTATTTCTACTGAAGCATGGCTCTCCCACAAATTCAATTATTTCCAATACACAAAATCAAAGTCAAAGTTTAGTTTAGACTCAAACAGGCTCAATTGTAAAGCACTCTCTGTCAGTCCCTCAGTAAAGGTATTTTTATGTATGTAACTTTGAATTGATTTACACCTCAACTTCTCATAACTTCCCAAATTAATAATATAATAATAAATCGTTTAATTTATGGTTAGTTGCTTATCACTTTCTCACATCTCTGCACTACCAAAAGGATGACTGGCAGAAAATGCTTCTAGCATTAAGTCCCCCGATATGCAATTGTATCTAAAGAAGAAATAAATAAATAAAGGAAGGTGCTCGAAAGGTGCAGGCGAAAAGCTGATGTTGTTAGTGAAGTAATAAACACAATTAGTGAAGTGAATGTTGTAAAATATAAACTGAATTTATAACAGGACTGTTCTCTGTGTTTACATTTTATGACATGTGACAAAACGGACATTTGAAAAATGTGTTTACATTAAATCTGACGATCGTTTGGACTACAAAAAACAATATTTTCCCCTATTTCATGTTCTATAAAAACGTCGATTGACATATTTAGAATAGAAAAATACACATTCTGTTTCTCAGTGCAGTTGGATAATTTTATCTAAATGATTTTTACGTCGCTACAAGTCTTGTATTAATTATTTTTGCAGCTAGTTAAATTAAGATCTAATTATCCACGCCGCCAAGTAAAGATAAAGCTAACCTCCTTACGGAGAAGAGATCCAGCATGTTACCAACACTTAACGTCGCCTTGTTTAATGCTACTCGCTGGGCAAATTCGGTTAAAACTGGTGACATTACGAAAACTCTTAAAATCGTAATCCCCATACATAACTTGAACCAAAATTGCCGCGTGAACTTCTAACAAAGTGTCCTCTTTCTGCAATGTGGTGAGCTCGCAAAGGCGGAGGCGGAGTGCGAACTATCCTGCTAACGTCCCAGCTGCCGCAGTAGGGCACTCCGTGTTTCGAGAATTACGTTCCAATCTCCGGCCATTGTAAGCGCTGGTTTGCGGACGGAGCAAGGAAGAGTACCAGACTCAGGCGTACTATGCATATCTTTCCACCTGGGCCTCAAAGAGGCAACAGACTACCACCGACGAGGCCAAAAAGGGATAATATTAAGCCGAAGTTGCGGGTCAAGTGCAGCAATGTATCCTGGAGCAGGCGGAGAAACTGAGTGGTCTTCAGTCAGTAAGAGTTTGACGCTCTCTCTTGCTCCACTAAGTGGGATAAAAGGAATTTGATGACTTTTCCTCCTGAAAAAAAAACACTAAACTGTTATAAGTACATAGTATAGTTTAATTTGTCTATGATTTATTGAACTATCCCCCGTTTCTAGTCACAACATAGTCTATGATTTACGCAGTGGATCCACTGAGGTAGAAATGTGAGAAATATCATTAATTGATTGTTGCCATGGCAACGGGAAATGAATTCCTAGCGAGTTGTTCGTGTCTTAATGAATGGGGAGTATTTTCCATTAGGCTGGTGTTTATTGAAATAAAATGTCGATCCATCAACTTATTGTGCACAGAGGATTTGAGATTGAAATATCAGATTAAAATGTTGGTGGGAGATGAAATGTGTAGTGGAGTTTTTGCGTTCCAATTTTTGTGACACAAGTATCAATTGCTCGCTGATTGTGTTTTGTTTATTGTAATGGTAAAAAATAAATATCGAGCTTACGCATGTCATGTATCTGATTTGATTTTCAATTAATGTGGTGCTTGACTTAAATGCAAGAGAAAAATACTTTCATTCAATGATTTTCAAGAAATAAGAACGCTATTTGGCCCGAATAAAACATGAAGTCAGAACGCTAATACTGATAATTCAAAAAAAGAATTGAATGAGATTTGTTATCTTGAACCCAATTCTAGATTTGGTTTGAATAATTTTTGTTAGTACACAATAGTGTTTGATTCGCCTGTAAACATTTATTTCAATATTGTTAAAGTTTGCTTATCAATGTTGTCAAAACTATGCGCTACACAGTTACATAATATTGTGAAATTAGCGATTGACACTTTTAAGGTGGAAAAGGACGTTTATCCCATCAATATAAGCATAGCCACGAATCGGAAATCGGTGGGTTAATCCCACATGACGATACCATAGCTTTCTTGGTTATAATGTAATATCCGTATTTGATATTTAAAGGATGAAAAATAACATCAC